AGAGACCAGGTCAAGCGTGGGATGGGTGGGCCATGTCCCGAGAAGTATAAAGTACACATCAGCTTGGCGGAGCCCCGCCCAAAGTAGGCGTGTCGTGCTTCGAAATGAGCTGTACTGAGGACCATGATTTCAAATTCAGTCACAAAACAGCTTCAAAGCTGTGGTTCAAAGGTGGATAGAGGTGTGCATTGGTAAGTTAGATCGAACTAGGGAGACCCACTCACAATGGGTGGGGCGTTCTCCAAAAACGCAATGCGCTATGAAACCATTCTGGGAAATCATAACTCCTGCCCCCGTGGACCTCGAAAGTTTAAAGTTGGAAGGAGTACAGGCGGTGGGATGAGAACACTCATTGTGGGTAGCGAAACCAGACTCCGCCCACAATGGGCGGCGTTTGAGCAGAAATTCGAACTCCTGTCCCCGTGAAAATAGAGGTCCAAATTTTGTAGTGTAATTTTTACAAATTTTGTTTGAGTGGAAACTCATGAATCCGATAAAGGTCTATAAAGAAAATCAGCTCATGTGGCTTCGTCCCTCATGGCTAGAGCCCCTAGCGCACGCGATAGGGTGCGTGGCCGCCTGGTAGCTAGTAGATGGCTGATAGATAAAATTGGTATCCCTATAGACTTAAAGGCACGGTTCACGATAAAAAAGGTTACTGAGTTCTTCCTTTAGGAATACTCAGCGCCCCCAATGGGTGGTAGAAGGGACCCTCTCGCTCCCACAATCTCGGCGCTTAGGGCGTGTGGAAGCCTCGTTGCTGCCGTAGTTCGCTTTCCCGCCCCTCGATCGTGTCACGTAAGACGAGTGTCGAGACAATACAGATTGCTATTATTCGTTCTAGGACCCACGCACAACCAGCTAATCGCAGAGTGATGAGGCGATGTTTTTCTCCCATTCTTTTTTCCTCTGTTTTTCTTTTTGCTGCCCGTTATTTAATTTCCTACTCCTAGAGGCTGAAAAAGGTGAGCTACTTTTGCTGTTACTAGGGTTTTTTGTTTATTTATGCTTATAAGTGAATGAATTTTCACTTACCATTGTCTGTTATTCGCACCAGGACTCACACGCGCGCAGTGAAACACACTGTTTAGCTCGTCCGAACGCCTAATTCTTCTTCATTTTTCTGGTTTCATTCTCGTCCAGCCTCCTTTTTAACAGTTTTTGGAAGCTTTTTTCCACTTTGGAAACACCGATGCACACAGTTTCTTCACCTCAGTCGCACTAGTTTCGATCTTGTCTTTCATTTTTCATCATAATCTGGATTACCCAAAATTATCGTGAACTGTGCCTTTAAACGAGTTGTCTTCACAGCTATAGCAGTTTGAGAATCGCTTAGAGGTTGACATCCGCGTAGACGTGTTCCTTCTTCAAAACCTCAAGGCACAAAAAACACTTTTAAATAGTCGAGCAATGACTTGGGACTAATTCCGTAAGCGATTAAGCTACAAATTGAGTGTAAGTGGGGTTGGCGGCATGAAAATGGTCAATGGTCACCTTTTTTTCTCGCTCTTACATTCTAATATCGATCTATTCCAATTATTGCAATTTGCAGTTATTAGTGAAAAATTTTTATGATCGATCATACTAGAACGCATCAGACAACAAAAGCATATTCTCGATTCCATTGTCAAAAAGGAAGCCTGATTTCTCGAGAACTTCGCTGATGCTCACCGCTCGAAGCAACAAAATAATCGAAATGTAGAATTCAGGAGGAAAAACTCACTTGCATGGCGTCTTTCCAGGCGGACATTGTTCATTGTCGTCTTCCGTTTTCGTCTTTTTCGCTTCCACTTCCTCCGATTCGTCCTCCTCACTATGTTTCCTTTTGTTACTTCCAGAGCTCTCTGCACTGGCGCCAACAGCTTCATTCTTTTCGTTTGCCGAATCTCCCAGCTTGCCCTCGGCCAGCTTTTCGATATCACCGTGATCCATGCCCTCTTTGGCATACAAAGGAGTCTCATCCTCTACAGAACGATCGAGGTCGGTTTTTGTCTTTGAGCAATCATAGAGGTTCTGAAAGTCAACGAATAACTATGAGAAATTCTCTCCTGTATGGACCACCTCTACGATTACCTTCAATTCCGCCAAACTTGTAGCACTCTTCCAATCTTTGTCTTTTCGTATGCGTGTCACACGTGGGAAGCGAATGGATATCCCACCAGCCGAGTGATTTTCTGATTTGGAAAACTCTGCCCCTGAAACGTTTAGTGCTCGGTTTTTATAATTACTCAAACCTCAAATAGTCTCAGACATGCTTAACCGCTCAGACCTACATGCAAAAAAATTAACGTTGCAAAGAAAGACTATCCGGGTTTTCGAAACATGCCTGTGATTTCCCAGACAGGAGCTGCTTGAGGGTCTTTGATGACAAAATCTGGCACGAGACTTCGTGAACAATGCAGCCATTTCGGTAGAAGGTCGAAGTCGCGATCAATGCGAGTCATCTTCAGAATAAATTTCATTACTGAATCTTCCAATATATTACTTAATAGAGATGATTAAATCACAAAAAGAAACTATGCGAGGTCTCCACCACTGATTATTGTTCAGCGACGATGACCCAAAATGTAAATTGTAAAATAATGAACTAAAGATAGACTAGGAAGTCAGCAATTCTGTAAGAGGGAGCTCAGCATGCATACATATCTGCATGTCACGGTCTCCCATGTCACGTTGAATTCAGTTTCAGTAGCGCCTCATTTAACTAAAATTCTACATG